CTCAAAATCGGTATTTCTACAATCACAATCATACTATAATATTTCGTGCAGGTACTTCAGTAGCCAAGGGCATTATAATGGCGAAATTGCCTGACCACACAACAATAATTAACTCCAACTCCTGGGGTAATTGCGGGGTGGATTAAGTAGCTCGGCGGTTACCACAGCCCGTATAAAATGTGATGGGTGATTGGCAAGGTTAGCAGCCTACCAATCGTAAAAACAAATACTGCTCAAAGAAACAATGTACGGCCTCGGAAGCAGATTGATACTATGAAGACGAACTCGACCAGAAGTAGGATTCAAATAACATGTAGTACAAAAAGAAGTAGCTACCTTCAATTTTCATCATCATCAGTGGCATCTGGGATCGTTATTAGCCAAAGTCTTCTTCAGAACAATCCTACATTTACTCCTGTCTCTGGGGCAAGTCTTCTCCATGCTCTAACTACAATATTTTTTTAATCGCCTTGTTAGTTTTTTTTGATACCCAAATCTCAGTCTTCCTCTAGCTCGTTTTCCAATTGGCTCTTTTCAGTCAAAAACTTTTCTGACAATTTCATCTCCCTCTCGCCTGATTACATGCCCTATCCATCTAAGGGCCCTACATTTTACAACGTCAGGTTTTCCGAAACTTCTGTACAACTCCAAGTTGTAACGTTTGCGCTACAAACCTTACTTTTATTCCTCCATTCAAAATAGTCTTCTTAGAATTTTTCGCTCGAAACGTTTATGCAGTTCTTGGTCCTTCTGTGCAAGTGACCTTTAATTTTATTAAAATAAAACTCACATACCTGAAAAACCAGAAGTCAAATATCTTTACGTGGCAACAAAACTTATTTGGAAATCCCACATCGTAGCCACAAGAATCCTGCTATATTGAAAACTGAAACAAACTGAAAGATTATTATAATATTATCGTGTAAGTCAAATGACACGTATGCCATCAAAATTAATTAATATCATTACTAGTGTCTACATCAACATTACCTTAAGATATTAGCTCCTTTTAATACTATACATACCATAGAAATCATCCCAAAGTAATTCAGAAACTGCTCCGAATACAGAACAATAAGTCTCATGAGCCACCTTGAAAGTGTTTCTAAGAATAATCCACTAACTGATATATAAAGAACTAGATGGTAACATTAGTAAAACCCAATTTGCTTTCAGAAATAACTTAGGAACCAGGGAGCACAATTTGCCATCGGTGTATTAATATAAAGCTGTTTGGAGATAAACTTCGATATGTATCTCGGAGGTCCCAGAAGTACCCAGTCTGACCTAGAGATGGCGGTAGTTGTTTAAAAAAAATCATAAAAGTATATACTTCAAGTTTGAAGACGCCACGTTGTTTAGCATTTGTTTGTTATCCATGAATAATATCCACTATACTTTTATTTGAAAGGTCTCAGTCCAGCCAATGTAAAAGCTGAAGTGGACTCTACTCTGGGGAATCTGCTCCTTCGTTTACAACAGTAAAATATTGGGTAGCAGAGGCCGTACGAGCTGCCAAGACAAGCAACAAAAGAAGTACAATAAAGGAGCTTTACTGAACCGAACAGCATATTTTCAGCAAAACTGTAACCACATGTAATGGATTAATTTCTATAAATGAGAGATTAATTAATAATATTATTATATAAAATAACATAACAAAATATATTATTATTAGTAAAACTATATTTGATGACAATATCACTTAAAAGTTAGCGACTCTATTATTAAATATGTAATTAGGAGCAATGCTAGTGTCTAATCATAATCAAACCATAGATATTAACAGGTGCATCGAAATGACAAAAGCTGCATTTATCAAAATGAGATCATAATGATATACACAGTTGAAATATCACAAGTAAATATTAGAGATAACGGAAATGCTACTATTGTACGTATAAAAGCTAGGAAAACACTAATGGATTGAAAAAAGAAGAGCTGAGTGAAGAAAATGCTAGCCAAAATATACGTGGCTTGGTATTTACCAGAACAAAAAGACAAGAAAAGAGTAGGTGATTGCATAGGATAAATACAGCCTGGAAGTATAATTTATCCTCTATAGACGGCGATGATCATCAATTATTAATAAAATCACTATTAATATTATTAGTATTAATGTTATAATTATTGTTGTTAATTACAATGTTAATTAGATGATTCATATTTCTCTTTATTAAAATCTAAATTTTTTAAATCGCTTTCTAAATAATCTTTTATCTGATTTTGGTACTGTTCTCTATTTGAAGAGCCAGTTATTTTGTCTTAATGCTATTTTGACATAGAAAGAAGAACTGTGACAGCCAAAAAGAAGAAGAGGATGGCCTGATAGATAAGAAAGAAGACAAAAAAAGTTGATTTGTCAGATGGAAAAGAAGACGAATCGACAACGGGAAAAGTAAAAGTTTTGACAGACTGAACAAAAGAAGAATTGACAGCTGACATGACCACGACTTAACAGCCTCTACCGTCAAGGTCAGCTGGCAAGATTTTGCTAGGCTCAAGAGGCCCAACCTCTGCGAAATATCCTGTATTATACTATCGTCGGAATTCCAAATTGGAATTTTACATTTGGATTTTTTAAAAGAGCAACTGATTTATTTGCACTTTTTGTTGTACATGCTACGTGGAATTTATTTAGAGATACTGAAAGTGAAAGAAGTACTGAATAACTTACTTACTTACTTACTTACTCCGTGGCGTTACAACCCTTCGTGGGTTTTAGCCGACTCGACAACATGCCTCCACTGTTTTCTGTCTTGAGCAACCTCCATCCAATTCTCCACGCCCATAGTGCTTAGGTCTCCTGCTATATTATCTCGCCACCGGAGACGAGGGCGTCCGCGTGGTCTCCTTCCAGTTGGGACTTCCTGCCACACCAGTCTTACTGTTCGTTCGTCAGAATGTCTTCTGAGGTGTCCTGCCCATTGGAGTCTTCTGGACTTTATTTCTTTTATGATGTTGGCGTCTGGGTAAAGTTCTTCAAGCTCTTTATTAGTTCTTATCCTATATTGTCCTGATGCTTCATCAAGCACCGGACCAAAGATCTTCCTTAGGATTTTTCTTTCCCAAACACGTAGTCTCTCTTCATTTGCCTTTGTCATCGTCCACGTTTCGCTTCCATACATCACAACGGGTCGTATGATTGTTTTATAGACCTTTATCTTCGTACGTCGTGTTAGTTGTTTTGATTTTATAAGGTTTTGGAGGGCAAAAATACATCTGTTGCCGGCCTGAATCCTGTTGTTTATTTCTTGTGATCCGTTATTGTCTTTAGTTATTGTTGTTCCAAGATACTTGAATTCCCTAACGCGCTCAAAGTTAAAGTCATCGATGGTAATGTTCTGACCGATTCTGTCTCTGCTTTGGTTATTGCGGCTCATATACATATATTTCGTCTTGTTTTCGTTGATTTGGAGCCCCATCTTCTCTGCTTCCTTCTCAAACCTTACGAAAGTCTCCTTCATCCTTAATCGCGTGTTTCCTATTAGATCTATATCGTCTGCAAATGCCAGTAGTAAGTTTGGTCCTTCTCGATGAAATACTGTATTCGGTTTTTCGATTCTTGCACTTCTGATTATGTGCTCCAGAGCTAAGTTGAAGAGTTGTGGTGAAAGTGCATCTCCCTGTTTTAGTCCATTGTTTATTTCAAATGTCTCCGAGTATTGTTGTCCAACTCTCACCTTACATCGTAACCGTTCCATACACATCCGTATCAACCGGACTAGTTTTTTTGGAAAGCCAAGTTCCTGCATCGCTGTCCACAGTCTGTCCCTACATACTCTATCAAATGCTTGTTTAAAATCTATGAACATCTGATGAAGCTCACGATCAAACTCCCAGCATTTTTCCATTATCTGTTTTATTGTGAATATCTGGTCAATTGTAGAGCGGCCCGGTCTAAATCCGCATTGATAATCTCCAACAATTTCTTCTGTGTATGTTTTGGTTCTTTCTAGCAGGATGTTTGCAAGGATTTTGTAGGTGGTGTTTAGGAGTGTTATTCCCCTGTAGTTAATACATTGCTTTTTGTTTCCTTTTTTGTGTATTACTGAATAACTGCCTGTTCTATATCTAATCTACGAAAAAAAAATTATTACAAGCGCTTTCCTAATTAACTTTGGCAGCAGACAAGTGTATAAACAACCATGAGTTTTTAAATTTTAAAAGTGCCTACTTAGATTAATCAGCGCGAGCTTATTTGAAAAACCTTTACTCAGCAAATTAAACAACGCCATTTATCATATTGTTGTCTCGGGATATCACAGACCATGGGGCGAGTTTAGAAGCTAATAAGCCGGTTTGTAAAAGCCACGATTCCGCGAGTGCGCTAGTAGTCGAGTGAGTAGTGAGTACAAAGTACAGACAAAAATTTCCCACTTGCTCAGTAGCCAATTACCTGGCGTGTGGGAAAGACTTTAAAACCAATACTACTACTTGTGCACAAGCTAATGTGATTAAACAGGGCTATTTTTCAAGCTAGCTCGCTCAAAAGGCGGCGAGTGGCTTCTCCGTGAGTTTTTCCAGAGGTTTTTTTAGAAGCAGCTGACAGATGCACTGGACTAGTTTACGAGCTGCTTGTGGAAAAGCCGACTTGTAGCTTGTAAACTCGCCATGTGTACTAAGTCTTTTTTTACTAATATGAAAAAATATGCCGACTGACTGTAGGAAATAATTTTAATAGAAATACATAAAGACAAAATTTGCCTTTGCGTATAATTTTCAGAACGAAATAGATTTAGATTTTGGTAAAGCGTAATAAAAACAAATTGAAGTAAATGAAACACTGCAATTATTAATATTGCAATTATTAATTAGGTAAATCAAAATAACTTTGAAATAAAATAGTAAAATAGTATAGTAGATATAGCAATAATCTCGTAACTTAAAACTACATTATATAAATAACATTTTAAAGGCTTATAATAATTATTGTTTATTTCGTTATAAACCGATAATTAACTTTGACGAGTAGTTAAAATGGTTTTTCTTTGTTTCAGAACGTGAACGACAACTTGTACCTCGTCAATCAACGTAAGTATAAATATAGTGACACCATGAATGTTAGTCAGTAGCGTGCGTATGCTGAATTTCTAATTAAACCATCTTTTGTAGCTTGAAATCGGATTCTCGGCGAGTTAAAGGTTTTATTAATGTACGAGTACGAGCTTTAATGTAAAGTAGCTTCTACGTATGATACAATTAAATCATGTTTATTATCGCAACTTCTTAGTGAACTAAGCACTTGTCATAGTTTATTCGCCAAGAATACCTAAAGCTTTAAGTGTTATACAGAGTATTAATATTTGCTTGAAAATTATGAATTTGTTCGGTAGCTTTCTTCCGTATAGGTTCATATACATATACATATACATATACATAGTGAATATGTTATAACGAGGTTTCTGATCAGTGCTGTTAAAAAATTTAAACTAATTAATTAATATGAACTGCTTTAATATTATTGTTATCAATTTAATATGTTTTATGACTTCGAAATCTTTTTGTAGTCGTGTCAATATTTCGGCATTCTCGATGAATCCAAGGTATTTTCAGAATCTGTCAGTATTATCTCGTTTCAAAGGCTTTCAACGATTTTGTTATATTATCCAGCTTTTCATTCCATACAACAAACAGCATAGTGGAGAATACAATTCTAGGGTCCCATTTAGTGAATATCATTTGTATTTTTCAAATGTTTGTCTCGCAAATTAAATTAGTGTTTTTATTTCTCTACTTTGGTCACTGTTCTCATTTACACAGATATGTGTAGTTGTATCTAATATAGTTCGTGTAAAGTGTTAAGATTGCGAGGTCGCGCAAGCGCCACTAACATGCCTTAATGACCACTTACATAATCCGAACCGAAAGCTTTTCGTGCCCTCCAAAGCATTGTGGTGGCTCAATTAAATTAGAAATTCAAATATTTCTTGGTGTCAGTGCCAAGAATCGGATCTGGATCCTCCAACGGCCAATAACATAGCCACCGTGCTACGGTCACCACATAATATGAGCTTACAAAGGTGCAGAATAACTTGAATGTATTAGAGTAAAACTAAGTAGAGCTGAGATAAATAGTGACCACTAGTTGTAGCTAGGACCAGCTTAACCATATACATATGTATCCATAATACCCTTAGTATAGAAGCAATCAAGTCATATAAGCTAGCAGACAAGAAGATAGAAGTTTGATAATTATATGGACTACTACGTAACAGAGCAAGCTGAACGACTGTGACCAATCAAAGAAATGGTACTAGCAGCAAAACGGAAAAGTTGGAAATAATGAATAAGATAGAAGAAGACTACCGCACTAACCAAAAATTATTCTTCAAAACCCTAAAAAATCTAAGAACCGAAAAGTTTCCACAAACACCAAAGTAAATAAGAGATAACGAAGGATACCTACTGCATGACAATGATCACATCTTAGATAGTAGGAAGCAATATTTCGAGGATCTACTGAACATTCAAAATGATGTAGATATCAACCAAGAAGAACCAGAAGGGGTAGAGTAAGGAGACCAAAATCCAGGCAAAATAACTGTAGCAGAAATAAAAGAAATTATACAAAAATTTTAGAAGGGTAAGATAAGGCGGCTGAATTTCATGACATCACAGCGGATATCCTACAAAACATATACGACAGGGGCATTGAATTTCTAACAAAAGTTTGCAATAAGGTAAAGAGTGAGAGCAAAATATCGAATGATTGGGAAGTGGGGGTTATTCTACTTATCTTCAAAAAGGGAGGTGGGCGGGAATGTAGTCACTACAGAGGTATAACAGTACTGAGCATCCCATCCAAAGTGTACGAGGGAATATTACAGACACGTATTTTACAAGAAGTTGATTCTAAAACAGAACAATCGCAGAGTGGATTCAGGAAAGGCAGAAGCATCCAAGACCACATTTTTACTATCAAGAAATTAATACAAAACGCACGGAACCAAGAAAGGTGATAGATATATGCTTAAAAAAGATATTTGTAAATATCGAACTCATGAAAGCCATTATGAATGTATACAGCCATTAAGGAACATGGTCAGAACTGATAGTATGGAATCCGAGTAGTTTACAGTAAATGAGGGTTCACGTCAAGGGAAAGTCCTGGACCCCATACTATTTAACATCGTCTTGGATAACATAATAATTAAAGAAACCAGAACAGAAACACTGAAATTATATGCCGGACATAGAAATCTAGATGCGGTGTTTATCTCAGAGTCTGCATACGCAGACGGTCTTATAACATTGGGAATAAACGAAGAAGCAAGCACTTAATCGAAATTTACACAAGTATGCAAACGAAATTTGAGGATTAATGAAGAGAAAACGAAAGTAATGGTATGCGGATAAAATAGAAAACAAACGAAGATAAAAATTAACGGAAATACACTCCGTTGAATTACACTCCGGAACAAGTTGAAACCAGTAGATACTTGGGAGCGCAAATAGAGAACAGAGGACCTGAAGAAACAGAAATAGATTCGAAAATAGAAAGTGCTGCTCGGATCTACCACGCAATCAAAAGTACGTTTTTATCCAAAAAAGAAGTATCCCAATAAGCCAAAGTAGCCATCTAAAAGATGGTGTTTGTGTCTATTTTAAATTTTGCTAGTGAAAGTTGGACGCTTACCCATAAATTAAGATCGAGAATGCAGAGCATAGAAATAAAGTTTCGTAGAAGAATAATGGGCATAAGCAGTTTAGACAAGATTAAAAGTGAGGCAGTTAGTGTACATCTTAAGGTCCAACCAATTATCAAGAAAATTGAAGAGGCCCAACTAAGATGGTATGAACACATGATTAAAATGAATCAAGAAAGACCAGTATGGGAAGCGAGAAAACAAATTAAGAAACCAAGGGGTAGGCCAATGAAGAGATGAGACGATAATGTAACTTCAATCCTAGAGACAAGAGGAATTAGCAAAGAACAAGCTAGAAACCAAGCAAATAATAAGAAGCAATGGAGAAAAAAGACATTACACCCGACACCTTAGAGCAAAAGGGTTTAGGGTTATATATATATATATATATATATATATATATATATATATATATATATATATATATATAACTTCGAGATGTGGCGCTGGAGCATAATGTTTTGGATCTCATAGACAGAGCCCAGAATAAATCAGTCAGTCCTCAAAGAGCTTAACTTTCAGACTAGACTCTTCTATATTTGTCTCGCAGGTGTCTTTTTCGGACATATTTCAAGAAGAAATAGGTTGAAGGTCGCAGAGGCAGAGGTCATACTCACTCGATGGACAGATCAAGTGCAGATGCAGTGGCAAAACATTCTCTGAGTCCATGAGAGCAACCCAGAATAGAAGCCGATGGAAAGAGCTAGTTGCTCGTATGGTAGGAAGTAACGACTAGAGAGAGTAGTGGTTGTACACTGTCATCTAAAGTATTGGTAGTTATTATTGTTTAAACACTGCATTACTTTTTATATCTTTAAATATTTCTCTGTTGGGGTCTCTCTTCACGAGCTTTCGTACGGGAGTTCAAATCAAGACACGCACGGGAAGGTCATATTCTAAGGGATATTCTACATTCAGGCTCTAAGGGTAGATTACATTCAGCTGTTAGCTAGAGGTAGTGATCTTAAGTTAAGAATATTCAAACTTTTTTAACCAAAGGAATCAATGTACATTGTCTCTGGATTAAAGCACATGCAGGATTTGAACATAATGAATATGTCAACTTATTAGCCAAAGAAAGCATTTTAACCGATACTGGTATTTTACATAAAGTAACGCTTTCTGACAGTATTGTTTCTTGCAAGACAACATTGCTTCGAGAGTGGAGCTACCAGTGGAAGGAATACTCTTTTGTGAACCAAAATAGATACTCGATAATTCAGCCAGATATTCCCAAATTTCCTTGGTACAAGTCTTTTAGAGCTTCCAGGAGGCACATAACTTCCATTATTAGAATACGTTTCGGACACGCATGTTATCCAAAGCACTTATTTAAAATAAAGGTTTTGGATGATGACAAAAACGTGAGTATTGTGGAGAGGAAATTGATTTAGATCATATATTATTTGGTTGTTCTAAAAACAGAGGCTACTCATCCAAACTTATAAATGATTTATTAAAATATAAAATAGCAGCTCCTTGGAATATGCTACAATTATTATCACTTGGCTCTGTAGATATTTACAACTCTTTAATAAAATCTTTAAAAGACAGCAAATTATCATTATAATTCTCTAAAAATGATTTAGTTAATCTTGTTACCTTTGTTTTAAACCATTTGTATAACTTCCAACTTCCTCCTCTCCGTGACCTAGTGTTGTTGTGTCTTATATAAATCAATGCCTTGATAGGTTCCTAGGCGAGAAGAGTGTGTCCCTCTTTTCCTAATATCGATGTAATCTTTTATTTTGATAGGGCATTTAGATAAATAATTATAATGATGACTGTCTTAGTCCTTTTGTGTCTGGCTGTATGACGATAGTCTAGGACAAAAAAAAAGTTAAGAATAAAAGTATCATACCATAGATTGCTTTATTTCGTTTGGAAGTAATATGTGTTTCAACATCATACATAAAATTATAGGATTCGATAAATTGTTCTCAAATTGTTATACGGTCTATCTATATCTTCACTGATAGTAAAATAATAATGAATTGCGGAAATACGTAACAATGATTATCTAGCTTTTTACTGTTGTCCTATAGTGTTAATATAAAAATGTTCACTCTCAAGTTTTTCATTTAACTGTTTAATACAACAGACCAAATAAAATGTTTACATTAAAAATACTTCAGTACTTTTGGCGTCTTTGTGGAAATACACATATGCTTTATATTTTGAATACTTTGTAGAACAAATTTTATATAAAAATATATCTCAGAATCAACAACTAATAAAATTGACGATTCACATAAAATAACACTTTTATAGTTGACAGAAGGAAAATTTGAATTCGCTGAAAACCTCAAGGAATCGAATATCGAGAACATTGTCTTGGCAAACTTTTGATAAATAATGTCAACTGATTCAGTTGTGTAAACAAAA